TGTGCGTGCGTGTCTGTGTGTGCGTGTGTGTGCGTGTCTGTCTGTGCGTGTCTGTGTGTGTGTGTGCGTGCGTGTCTGTGTGTGCGTGTGTGTGCGTGTCTGTCTGTGCGTGTCTGTGTGTGTGTGTGCGTGCGTGTCTGTGTGTGCGTGTGTGTGCGTGTCTGTCTGTGCGTGTCTGTGTGTGTGTGTGCGTGCGTGTCTGTGTGTGCGTGTGTGTGCGTGTCTGTCTGTGCGTGTCTGTGTGTGTGTGTGCGTGCGTGTCTGTGTGTGCGTGTGTGTGCGTGTCTGTCTGTGCGTGTCTGTGTGTGTGTGTGCGTGCGTGTCTGTGTGTGCGTGTGTGTGCGTGTCTGTCTGTGCGTGTCTGTGTGTGTGTGTGCGTGCGTGTCTGTGTGTGCGTGTGTGTGCGTGTCTGTCTGTGCGTGTCTGTGTGTGTGTGTGCGTGCGTGTCTGTGTGTGCGTGTGTGTGCGTGTCTGTCTGTGCGTGTCTGTGTGTGTGTGTGCGTGCGTGTCTGTGTGTGCGTGTGTGTGCGTGTCTGTCTGTGCGTGTCTGTGTGTGTGTGTGCGTGCGTGTCTGTGTGTGCGTGTGTGTGCGTGTCTGTCTGTGCGTGTCTGTGTGTGTGTGTGCGTGCGTGTCTGTGTGTGCGTGTGTGTGCGTGTCTGTCTGTGCGTGTCTGTGTGTGTGTGTGCGTGCGTGTCTGTGTGTGCGTGTGTGTGCGTGTCTGTCTGTGCGTGTCTGTGTGTGTGTGTGCGTGCGTGTCTGTGTGTGCGTGTGTGTGCGTGTCTGTCTGTGCGTGTCTGTGTGTGTGTGTGCGTGCGTGTCTGTGTGTGCGTGTGTGTGCGTGTCTGTCTGTGCGTGTCTGTGTGTGTGTGTGCGTGCGTGTCTGTGTGTGCGTGTGTGTGCGTGTCTGTCTGTGCGTGTCTGTGTGTGTGTGTGCGTGCGTGTCTGTGTGTGCGTGTGTGTGCGTGTCTGTCTGTGCGTGTCTGTGTGTGTGTGTGCGTGCGTGTCTGTGTGTGCGTGTGTGTGCGTGTCTGTCTGTGCGTGTCTGTGTGTGTGTGTGCGTGCGTGTCTGTGTGTGCGTGTGTGTGCGTGTCTGTCTGTGCGTGTCTGTGTGTGTGTGTGCGTGCGTGTCTGTGTGTGCGTGTGTGTGCGTGTCTGTCTGTGCGTGTCTGTGTGTGTGTGTGCGTGCGTGTCTGTGTGTGCGTGTGTGTGCGTGTCTGTCTGTGCGTGTCTGTGTGTGTGTGTGCGTGCGTGTCTGTGTGTGCGTGTGTGTGCGTGTCTGTCTGTGCGTGTCTGTGTGTGTGTGTGCGTGCGTGTCTGTGTGTGCGTGTGTGTGCGTGTCTGTCTGTGCGTGTCTGTGTGTGTGTGTGCGTGCGTGTCTGTGTGTGCGTGTGTGTGCGTGTCTGTCTGTGCGTGTCTGTGTGTGTGTGTGCGTGCGTGTCTGTGTGTGCGTGTGTGTGCGTGTCTGTCTGTGCGTGTCTGTGTGTGTGTGTGCGTGCGTGTCTGTGTGTGCGTGTGTGTGCGTGTCTGTCTGTGCGTGTCTGTGTGTGTGTGTGCGTGCGTGTCTGTGTGTGCGTGTGTGTGCGTGTCTGTCTGTGCGTGTCTGTGTGTGTGTGTGCGTGCGTGTCTGTGTGTGCGTGTGTGTGCGTGTCTGTCTGTGCGTGTCTGTGTGTGTGTGTGCGTGCGTGTCTGTGTGTGCGTGTGTGTGCGTGTCTGTCTGTGCGTGTCTGTGTGTGTGTGTGCGTGCGTGTCTGTGTGTGCGTGTGTGTGCGTGTCTGTCTGTGCGTGTCTGTGTGTGTGTGTGCGTGCGTGTCTGTGTGTGCGTGTGTGTGCGTGTCTGTCTGTGCGTGTCTGTGTGTGTGTGTGCGTGCGTGTCTGTGTGTGCGTGTGTGTGCGTGTCTGTCTGTGCGTGTCTGTGTGTGTGTGTGCGTGCGTGTCTGTGTGTGCGTGTGTGTGCGTGTCTGTCTGTGCGTGTCTGTGTGTGTGTGTGCGTGCGTGTCTGTGTGTGCGTGTGTGTGCGTGTCTGTCTGTGCGTGTCTGTGTGTGTGTGTGCGTGCGTGTCTGTGTGTGCGTGTGTGTGCGTGTCTGTCTGTGCGTGTCTGTGTGTGTGTGTGCGTGCGTGTCTGTGTGTGCGTGTGTGTGCGTGTCTGTCTGTGCGTGTCTGTGTGTGTGTGTGCGTGCGTGTCTGTGTGTGCGTGTGTGTGCGTGTCTGTCTGTGCGTGTCTGTGTGTGTGTGTGCGTGCGTGTCTGTGTGTGCGTGTGTGTGCGTGTCTGTCTGTGCGTGTCTGTGTGTGTGTGTGCGTGCGTGTCTGTGTGTGCGTGTGTGTGCGTGTCTGTCTGTGCGTGTCTGTGTGTGTGTGTGCGTGCGTGTCTGTGTGTGCGTGTGTGTGCGTGTCTGTCTGTGCGTGTCTGTGTGTGTGTGTGCGTGCGTGTCTGTGTGTGCGTGTGTGTGCGTGTCTGTCTGTGCGTGTCTGTGTGTGTGTGTGCGTGCGTGTCTGTGTGTGCGTGTGTGTGCGTGTCTGTCTGTGCGTGTCTGTGTGTGTGTGTGCGTGCGTGTCTGTGTGTGCGTGTGTGTGCGTGTCTGTCTGTGCGTGTCTGTGTGTGTGTGTGCGTGCGTGTCTGTGTGTGCGTGTGTGTGCGTGTCTGTCTGTGCGTGTCTGTGTGTGTGTGTGCGTGCGTGTCTGTGTGTGCGTGTGTGTGCGTGTCTGTCTGTGCGTGTCTGTGTGTGTGTGTGCGTGCGTGTCTGTGTGTGCGTGTGTGTGCGTGTCTGTCTGTGCGTGTCTGTGTGTGTGTGTGCGTGCGTGTCTGTGTGTGCGTGTGTGTGCGTGTCTGTCTGTGCGTGTCTGTGTGTGTGTGTGCGTGCGTGTCTGTGTGTGCGTGTGTGTGCGTGTCTGTCTGTGCGTGTCTGTGTGTGTGTGTGCGTGCGTGTCTGTGTGTGCGTGTGTGTGCGTGTCTGTCTGTGCGTGTCTGTGTGTGTGTGTGCGTGCGTGTCTGTGTGTGCGTGTGTGTGCGTGTCTGTCTGTGCGTGTCTGTGTGTGTGTGTGCGTGCGTGTCTGTGTGTGCGTGTGTGTGCGTGTCTGTCTGTGCGTGTCTGTGTGTGTGTGTGCGTGCGTGTCTGTGTGTGCGTGTGTGTGCGTGTCTGTCTGTGCGTGTCTGTGTGTGTGTGTGCGTGCGTGTCTGTGTGTGCGTGTGTGTGCGTGTCTGTCTGTGCGTGTCTGTGTGTGTGTGTGCGTGCGTGTCTGTGTGTGCGTGTGTGTGCGTGTCTGTCTGTGCGTGTCTGTGTGTGTGTGTGCGTGCGTGTCTGTGTGTGCGTGTGTGTGCGTGTCTGTCTGTGCGTGTCTGTGTGTGTGTGTGCGTGCGTGTCTGTGTGTGCGTGTGTGTGCGTGTCTGTCTGTGCGTGTCTGTGTGTGTGTGTGCGTGCGTGTCTGTGTGTGCGTGTGTGTGCGTGTCTGTCTGTGCGTGTCTGTGTGTGTGTGTGCGTGCGTGTCTGTGTGTGCGTGTGTGTGCGTGTCTGTCTGTGCGTGTCTGTGTGTGTGTGTGCGTGCGTGTCTGTGTGTGCGTGTGTGTGCGTGTCTGTCTGTGCGTGTCTGTGTGTGTGTGTGCGTGCGTGTCTGTGTGTGCGTGTGTGTGCGTGTCTGTCTGTGCGTGTCTGTGTGTGTGTGTGCGTGCGTGTCTGTGTGTGCGTGTGTGTGCGTGTCTGTCTGTGCGTGTCTGTGTGTGTGTGTGCGTGCGTGTCTGTGTGTGCGTGTGTGTGCGTGTCTGTCTGTGCGTGTCTGTGTGTGTGTGTGCGTGCGTGTCTGTGTGTGCGTGTGTGTGCGTGTCTGTCTGTGCGTGTCTGTGTGTGTGTGTGCGTGCGTGTCTGTGTGTGCGTGTGTGTGCGTGTCTGTCTGTGCGTGTCTGTGTGTGTGTGTGCGTGCGTGTCTGTGTGTGCGTGTGTGTGCGTGTCTGTCTGTGCGTGTCTGTGTGTGTGTGTGCGTGCGTGTCTGTGTGTGCGTGTGTGTGCGTGTCTGTCTGTGCGTGTCTGTGTGTGTGTGTGCGTGCGTGTCTGTGTGTGCGTGTGTGTGCGTGTCTGTCTGTGCGTGTCTGTGTGTGTGTGTGCGTGCGTGTCTGTGTGTGCGTGTGTGTGCGTGTCTGTCTGTGCGTGTCTGTGTGTGTGTGTGCGTGCGTGTCTGTGTGTGCGTGTGTGTGCGTGTCTGTCTGTGCGTGTCTGTGTGTGTGTGTGCGTGCGTGTCTGTGTGTGCGTGTGTGTGCGTGTCTGTCTGTGCGTGTCTGTGTGTGTGTGTGCGTGCGTGTCTGTGTGTGCGTGTGTGTGCGTGTCTGTCTGTGCGTGTCTGTGTGTGTGTGTGCGTGCGTGTCTGTGTGTGCGTGTGTGTGCGTGTCTGTCTGTGCGTGTCTGTGTGTGTGTGTGCGTGCGTGTCTGTGTGTGCGTGTGTGTGCGTGTCTGTCTGTGCGTGTCTGTGTGTGTGTGTGCGTGCGTGTCTGTGTGTGCGTGTGTGTGCGTGTCTGTCTGTGCGTGTCTGTGTGTGTGTGTGCGTGCGTGTCTGTGTGTGCGTGTGTGTGCGTGTCTGTCTGTGCGTGTCTGTGTGTGTGTGTGCGTGCGTGTCTGTGTGTGCGTGTGTGTGCGTGTCTGTCTGTGCGTGTCTGTGTGTGTGTGTGCGTGCGTGTCTGTGTGTGTGTGTGTGTGTGTGTGTGTGTGTGTGAGAGTGTGTGTGTCTGTGTGTGTGTGTGAGTGTGTGTGTGTGTGTGTGTGTGTTTAGTAGTAGTAGTTCATAGTTCCACTGATCAGTGCACACGCCAACATTCTCCTTTCAATTAAACCGATTTACTTATTTATTTATTACGCTCTTTGAGTCCCTTATTGCTTAATATAGCATTGTATATTGTGATATTCTTCAACAACTGCATTTTTCCTCTACAGTCCATTTGTTTAACAATATCTGGCAACCTTCGCATCCGACACCGTCACAACAAGCGCAAATGCTGCTGGGTGACACGTCACGGTGGTGGACTGCATCTATAAGCCACTTTTAAAGGACGACGGTGATGGACAGGTAGATGTTTCGCTCTGACTGCGCTTTAATTGTGTTGTGGGGTTGCCAAGTGATGCCGTATTCAAGGATCGTAATCATATACTGAAAAATAGGCAGGATAAAGACGCTCCCCGGCGTGAAAACAGTTAGTTTGGCATCATCTCTGAAAACATGGCAATGTCCCTAACCCAAGCCTGCCGGAGTCTTGCCCTGTCTACATGGCTGCTGTCGTTTTGCTTCGTGCATTTGCTGTGTCTGGACTTCACAGTGGCAGAGAAGGAGGAATGGTACACTGCCTTTGTCAACATCACTTACCTGGATCCAGTCACATCTGAAATAAAGACAGACAAGAGTGAATGTGGCAGATATGGGGAGCACTCACCTAAAAGAGATGCCAGGGGCTTTGTGTTTATACCATCTCTTCTGCAGGACAGACAGGTGTGTGACAGTAACACTAAATTCCCCCTTCCCCATCCCAGCATCCCATGGATAGCACTGATAGCCATAGGAAACTGCACCTACAGGGAGAAGATCAGATATGCTGCTGCTCTCAATGCATCCGCTGTGGTTATTTTCAATGTGGGCTCCAGCAACTCCAATGAGACCATTACTATGCCACATCACGGTAAGATGAGATGCTTTTCTTGTGCATTTGCTCATTAATTGACCATTAAAGTTGTGCACTGTATTCCAAGTTTATAAACCCACTTTCACTGTATAATAAGTTGTTCCAAGCCTGTATGCATTTCTTTCTTCTTCTGAGCACAAAAGAAGATATTTAGAAGAATGTGAGTTCTTCATTGACTTGAGTTTTTTTTTTTTTTTCATACTATGCAAATAAATGGCTACCGGCACCTGTTTGGTTACCAGCATTCTTCAAAACATTGCCTTTTGTGTTCAACAGAAGAAGGAAATGCATACAGGTTTGGAACAACGTGAGGGTGAGCAAATTATGACAGAATTATCATTTTTGGGTCAACTATAAAGAAACTTGTATTGATGGTTATTTGGGTGAATAAAATAATGACCGAATTGCTTTTTGGATGAACTAATCCTTTAATGTATAACAAAGATATCACATCAATGCACCAACATGTGATTATGGCCAATGATCCATGTTGTGTGATTCAAGCTTGACCAGTTTGTTTGCACTATTAATAGTTAACATCTATGATGCACTGTATCCTGATGTGAAAAAACCCATTAAACTCTTGAGATTTGCATGGTCTATTTACATACTTTGCAAAGTATCAAGCCTCCTTTGCATCTTTGGATCAATATTTTCATATTGCATTATATTTCACACCAAAAAAATGTTGTTATACTTTACAATAAGGTTCCATTAGTTACTTTATTTATTTATTGCATTGCTTTTTAACATTGTTTTCACAACAATAAATGATATTGTTGTAATGCATAAAAAAGTAAAACTATCATGCTAAAAACAAGGCATATTATTGCACATTAATGACATTCCCAACATCTCACTTTCCTCCTGCACAGACTTTCCGAACATTTCCCAACCGTCCACTCTTCTCTTGACTCCACTATCTCATACTTGTATGATTCATATATTACAATAATCAAGATGTATTGGTCTACACATATATTTTCTGAGATTGTTGTCTTGACTAACTCTGAAGCAACTAAGGATTATGTTTATTACTTGAGTTGCGACATGATTACTCAATGCGTTTGCAGTCACTGCAGGTTACTTCATGCTCGTTTTGTGTTTTCTCAGCAATGGATGATTTTCACAAAAACATGTCCAGGTCACACTGCAACCCAAAATCATAAGGGAAAATTTGATTTTGTATAAAGAAAGTGAGGCTTTTTTGGGACATTTGTCTATTATTGTTATTGTTATCATCATGACAGTCAAGCTCATGTTCTCCCCAAACTCATTAAACATTAAAAACATTAAAAACTCATTAATACATTAAAGATATAGATGAGTTTGTTTCTTCATGGGAACAGATTTGGAGGAAGTTAGCATTCCATCAGCAACCAATGGATCCTCTGCAGTGAATGGGTGCCGTCAGTATGAGAGTCCAAACAGCTGATAAAAACATCACAATAATCCACAAGTAATTGAGACCACTCCAGACGATCATTGCTTCCGGAAAAATACGAGTTCTCTATGCATAATATTGCTTTCTCCATTAAAAAAGTTGTATCATTACTGTTTACAAGCTAAAGCGGTTTTCAACAAATATGTTGGTGGATTTTGATGTGAGGGAGTAACAGGGGATGGACTTTTTCACTGGAGGAAGCATTATTATGGATTACTCCTGGATTATTGTGATGTTTTTATCAGCTGTTTGCACTCTCATTCTGACGGCACCCATTCACTGCAGATCATCCACTGATGAGCAAGTGATGTAATGCTACATTTTCCAAAGAAACAAACTCATCTACATCTTGGATGCCCTGAGGGTGAGTGAATTTTCAGTTAATTTGCATTTGTGGGTGAACTATTCATTTTAAACTTTCTCAAACATCTTGTTTCGGTTTGGTAACATTAGTGGGGGTTGTTATATTGCTCAAACCATTTCAACCACAAGAATCTCTCTTGCATTTGCAGAACTCATGGTCAGGACATGCTGTTGTGTCTGATCCAAACAGCTGATAAAAACATCACAATAATCCACAAGTAATTGAGACCACTCCAGACGATCATTGCTTCCGGAAAAATACGAGTTCTCTATGCATAATATTGCTTTCTCCATTAAAAAAGTTGTATCATTACTGTTTACAAGCTAAAGCGGTTTTCAACAAATATGTTGGTGGATTTTGATGTGAGGGAGTAACAGGGGATGGACTTTTTCACTGGAGGAAGCATTATTATGGATTACTCCTGGATTATTGTGATGTTTTTATCAGCTGTTTGCACTCTCATTCTGACGGCACCCATTCACTGCAGATCATCCACTGATGAGCAAGTGATGTAATGCTACATTTTCCAAAGAAACAAACTCATCTACATCTTGGATGCCCTGAGGGTGAGTGAATTTTCAGTTAATTTGCATTTGTGGGTGAACTATTCATTTTAAACTTTCTCAAACATCTTGTTTCGGTTTGGTAACATTAGTGGGGGTTGTTATATTGCTCAAACCATTTCAACCACAAGAATCTCTCTTGCATTTGCAGAACTCATGGTCAGGACATGCTGTTGTGTCTGATCAAGAGTGCCTGTTGTTCTCTCTGTTTCTCTCACTTCCCCACCGCTTTCTTGTCTCTTGACCCTTTGTTTCATGAATTCTTTGTGGTTTTTGAGTTCTAGCAGTCAGACATTATCCAGACAGATTATTCTGCATATGATGGTTAAAGCTGCTGTGTTTTTTCCAATGTTACAGGGACAGTTCACCCATACATTTTTCTGTCATCATTTATTCATCACTACATGAGTCTTGTAAACTGTATTTTACCTTTGAAATAAGCAATGCTGGAAAATAGGCAGTAAAGTTCTCTCAAAATGAAATTATTCTGTTTATTGCTACACTGTAAAAAAAAAAAAAAAAAAAAAAAATTTTTACAGTAAAAAATACTGTAGCAACATTTGAGGTTTTAACTTACATTTACAGTTAAATACCGTAATTTCATTAGCTGATATAATGTTAATATATCAACCTATTGAAGTACTGAAATCTGTTTTGTACTTTTGTAATACACTCAGTACTTCAATAGTACACGATGAACTAAAGCCCATCACAAGCAGCTTTTAAATAATAACATATATATAGAAGGTGCACAGTGTCATTCACACAAACACTAAACACCATCATGGTAACGCACATGAAACTGAAATAATGCAATAAACATTCATTTAACAACATTAGGTGTTACACACAACCCTAATATACAAAACTGATAAGAAAAAACTAAGAAACACAGTTATTTCAACAAAAAAAATATCAAATTTGAAATGTAACTCAGGGAATTCTGGGAATGTCAATTTACGGTTATTCACTGTAAATTATACTGTTTTGAAGAATTTTGAGTTGTTGGTTCCCATTGACTTTCATAGTAGGGAAAGAAATACTGTGGAAGTCAATGGGTACCATCAACTTCTTCTGTGCTCAACGGAAGAGAGAAACTCATACAGATTGGAACAACTGGAGGGTGAGTAAATTATGACAGAATTTTCATTTTTGGGTGAACTGTCTTTAACCTCCCTATTTAGCCTCTAAAATGTTCATATGTTTATCATTTAAGGGTTGAAGTGGGTCAGAGTCTGAAACTGACTACATTCATGCATAGTTTTGATCTGCTGACCTGCTGCTGTCATGTTGTTATTGATGAAGCTCCAAAAGAGTGTTAACATTAACATTAATCACTGTATCCTGAACTAGGCAGCGCAGTAATTCATCTCTCAGATCCTGAGCTCAGCCAGTTCCTTGTTTGTAAATGGAGAGGGCTGGTGGTACTCGGCACTGGTCAAGTGCATTGTTCATAGTTTTATTTTTGGTTTCTTTGTTGACATTGAGTAATGGAAATGTGCCCGAGGAGGAACCAGAAATTGGCCTGGGCTTTTACAGTGTTGTTGTTGCTGTGGGAATCAGAGATCTGAAATGGTGCTGTTGTGGGAAACTCACTGTAAGTATGTCAGAGTTCATCCCATCTGAATGTGCTTGAATTCTTCAGCCCAGACGTAAGATGTTAATGTTTATTAATGCTTTAATCGAATGCACCATCTGGCTGCATTACAACTCAGTTCAGCTTGTGCTGATTTTGAGGATGAATTGACTGGCTTTCTCAGATGCGAAGCGGAAGTTTTAGGAAATACTCTTAATAACACAAAAAAAAGAGTTTTCTTTTATTCATTTATTCTGTTTCTTCATTTTCTGTGACTCAGTGAAGCAGAATCCAGCCAAATGAAGTATGTCTTGTTAATGGTATCAGTTTAAGGAAGGTACGTGACCAGCCTGTGTGTTTGTTCTCTGTATTTAGTTACATCAGCTTTGCAGATCTGTTCAGGAAATGCAAGCGAAGGCTTTTCTAGAGATCAAACGACTCGAGCAGAGTCTAGAGTAGAGCTTAGCTAGATTTGACACGGAATGACAGTGAACCGCTGACGGTTTGCTGGTGAAGTATGACATCTGCGTCAATCATTTGAGAATTGAACCCGTCATCATCGGTTTAGGTACCGGCGATGTGGTGGCGATCATGATCCCCGAGCCCAAAGGTCGTGAGATCATGGCCCTGCTGGAGAAGAACATAACCGTGACCATGCACATCACCATAGGCACACGCAACCTGCAGAAATACGTCAGCCGCACCTCCGTGGTGTTCGTCTCCATCTCCTTCATCGTCCTGATGATCATCTCTCTGGCCTGGCTGGTCTTCTACTACATCCAGCGCTTCCGCTACGCAAACACACGCGACCACAACCAGGTGCAGTACAGTCACGCTTGTATTTTACACAGCATGCATTAAGACAGCAAAGAAAAATCAGAAATCCGACATTTCAGTGCAGCATGCTTCTTGTCTTTTGCAGAGGCGATTGGGCGATGCTGCAAAAAAGGCCATAAGCAAGTTACAAGTGCGGACCATCAGGAAGGGTGACAAGGTTCGGTTCGTTGTGTGTTTTTTGGCAGATGTCTTGGTATTTGAGTTTTGTGAAATGTTTTAAGCAATTCACTCAAAGGAATAATGCCATAGTTCTAATGAAAAAGCATGCTGCTTCATATTTTTGTGTAAACTGTGATGCATTTTTTCGAATCCTTTAATGAAAAGAAAGTTACAAATAGCATTTATTTGAAATCGAAATATTTTGTAACATTCTAAATGTCTTTACCATCACATTTGATTTAATGTGTCCTTGCTGGATAAAAGTATTAATTTCTGACCTCAGTGTAAAATGGATTGTGTCACTTTTGAAGATAAACGATCGAAATGTGTGATATCATATCTGTAGTCTGACTGCTGTGTTTTATGGCTGTATGTTCCTGTCTGCTGCTTTAGCTCTAATGGAGATCTCATGGAAGTGTACACATACAGTCGCCCAGGTGTGGTTTCTCACAGCATTATTTATCGACCCGCTGTTTCTAGGAAACCGAGTGGGGCTTTGATAACTGCGCTGTGTGTATTGAAGACTACAAACCTAATGATGTTGTCAGGATACTGCCATGTCGGTAAGATTTCACACAAACATTACAAGACATCTGCAAAGTAGTTTGAAATGCCGAATTCTGATTCTCAGAGAACTAGAAGGCTTGAAACTGTAAGTAATTCATCATTAGTGAAGTTAGTGATGCTGTCGTGTATTGAAGTTCAACCTAAGACTATTGAACTAAATGAGCTCCTCCTCTAAAGCCAATCAGTTTTAATCTGTGAAAGTCAAACTTTAAATGTTTTTCCCAATAGTGCAGCATCAGTATGAAGCATT